GTTCCTAACTTAAGCCAGTTGTGGTCATGCTGAGTATTGTGCGGTGAAGCGCAAAGAACAACAGTAGCCAGAAAAAGATTGTGGCGAGTGCTGCCTCGCAGTGGTCAGCTCGTGTCCCCTGGAATGCTTCGCTATCGCACATCCATCATGCTCTGTTTAAATTCTTTTAACGCTGTAGCCAGGATGAGTAAACATTGCTAACCTAGCACACAAGGAGCGACACCGAATCTCTGTTTGCTCCGGGGCTATCACTCTGTTTGTGAGCCTGACCTTTGACCTGCCCGAGGGGAATTTTCAAAAAAGGGAATTTCCCTCCCTCAATTTTGGCACGTTTAACCCAGGAGGATGTAGATGGGTGTTGTCTGTCTGCATTGAACCCACCTAATCCTGGAGATCCAGGCCGAGGTTACAAGGGGCAAGTGGTTGGAGTGGTAAAAAACTTTGGTCCCATCAAAGGTCCAGCAAACCACTGACCTCAGAGAAGCAACACACATGGATACAGAAAATGTTCAGTGAGTTTCTGATTTTAGTTTAGATTTCAAACCACAGAAATTCCTCTACTGCTCTATGTCTCTATGTCCTTTATCTTCAGCGTTGAATATCAAGCACTAATCAGTGTATGCCAAACATAATGCATTACCTGCAGGTGCTTTTATAACATAAGACAGAGGCTCTGCAGCCACTCACAGCTCTTTTCCCATTAGTAGAAGCTTCCTATTGCTTTGATATAGAGTATCACCAGCAGTTCACATTTTAAATTTTGTCAGCATGTCAGCAGTGCAGTGGTTAGCGCTGTCATCTCGCGGCAAGAAGGTCTCTGGCTATTTATAGCTTCCTCCCACAATCCAAAGACATATGTGTTAGATTAACTGGTGACTTTTAAAATTGAATTTAGGTACAAATGTAAGCACAAATGTTTGTGTCTCTATTACCCTGCAGTAGGCTGGTGACCTGTCCAGGGTGTACACAACCTATCAGACAGCTGGGATAGGCGCCATCCCCACTGTGACCCCTATATTGGATAAGTGAAAGAGGATGGATGGATGGAGTAAAAGAAAGCTATATCTATCGCTTGGTGATTCATCCTGTAATTTTGGAATAGCGGGGGAGAGCATGGATGCATACACGTACCCATCTAGTTTTTTTATTCCTCGTAGTTGTATATTTTACTTTTTTTTTAAAAAAGCAAAGGAAAATTGAGAATTTAACAGCAGGCAAACAGATTTGTTTGCTGTCTCTGCTAATACCTGAAACTTGTCTTGTCTTACTTCTGTAAATGGTCTACAGTGGAAAAAAATAACCCCAAAAATGTTAAAAGACGTTTCAGGAACGAGCACACGGCATCTGTATGGGAATGAATGAAAGGGAGCAATTTCGGAAATGCAGTGGAAAGTAGAGTAGATCGAAAGCACTTGATCACATCTTCAAACTCGATGCTGCTGTTAGTTTTGTGGCAGTTTAAGAGGTGAGGCAAGGGGGCGGTTCGGAGCGTGAATTCCTGAAAGAGCGCCCCCTTCTTAGACTTCAAAAAACTTTCACAACATTACATTTATGGCGCTTTTTCCAAATACAGTGACGGACTGAGTCATACAATCGTCAAATAAACCTCACAAAGAAATTAGTTCAGCTCCAGTATACTCAAGTGCTTAAAGTTTTACTTTATAGTACATTTAATTTGATTTATTTTGTACTCAGGTATGCATGCATACGTTTATAGATCTGTTTCTAAATAGGACTGCACATGCTAATGGATGTTGTTTTCATCTGTTTGGCAATTTTTAAGTTTTGTTGGTAATCATTCTAAAATGTCATAAATGCAACACACACATGGTATTATTGTAATGGCTGAATGTTTAGTGTATAGTGTAGGGGTTTACACTGGTGAAGGATGCCCAGTTTGATTTTAGGTGGAGACAATACGAAACAAAACAAAAAATCAACCTGGCGGAGCGACCTACTGTAGCGACTCCTTGTGGTGCAGCTGAAAGTGCTTTCTCTCAGCACCTTCAGGAAGTTCCTGATGGTGTCAGACACGGCCACTGAGAGGAAACCTCGGTGCAGATTTCATCTGTAAGCCCTGACGACCTGCCAGATGACTGATCTGTGCACCTAAAATAGAATCAGGTTTAATGTGCTGCATGTCATCGGTTCTGCAAACTCATTAAGGGTAAGAGAGATCTGAACACCTTCCATGAATGATGACTATACATTGTTGTGAATGGGGGCTTCTGTTCAGTTACATAACTAAATCCCACTCATTATCTGGGGCCATGTTTAAACTGCGAGGGCTTAGAGCTGCACATATTTGGTTTGGTAAGTAATGGACTGTGCTAATATTCCCGTGGGAAAACCAGTGCAGGCCTAAGGGATTTAAACTACCAACCTTGGTAATGTAGCCACGGATTTGAGCTAATTACCCCTTTCACTGAGCCCCTGGTTGTA